TTGCGCTTGGCACTGCTAAATGGTCTATGTCGGCCAACAGGCTCGGTTCAGCATTTTGGATATAGAACCACTTAGCATTCCATCCCTTCAACGACGTGTGGAGAGGCACTTGTATGTATTCCTTCACCATGCCATCCCTCAGCTACAGATAAACTCCGCCGACAACTTTGGGGGACCCAGATCCAAGGAAGGGTTTGAGGCAGAAGAAATAGCGAAAGAGGTTGAAGTGCAGAGCAATTCCGATGAATGCTTTGCATAGATTGATGAAGAGGGAGATATGAAGAATGCTGTTGGGATAGAGATGGCAAAGGTTAATGCCATAATAGCCAAGAAGCTTTCGTAGGAAAGGATGCGCAGGAATCCCAAATCCACGAACGAAATAAGGCTCGAATATAACAAGTTCGTTGGTATCAGGGGTTGGGAACGGTTCACCTGTAGCGGGGCGCCATCCCGTGGTTACTTGATCTTGAAGGATGCCTTCGAACACCATTTTTTCCAGGGTCTCCCGGGTGATGGTAGATCTGACCCACTCTTGGCCGTGGTGGACCTCGCCAGTACTCTCCGCCACCTCCCTCCCTGACTTCTTTGGGCTTGAGCGACTGCGTTTCTTCCCACCCTTCGCCATGGATCAGATCTGATTCAATTTGGCTATGCTCAAATTTGATTGAGGAGGTGCTGTGGTTGTAATACGTTGTAGCAGGGTGTGCGAAGGCAAAGCGCTAAGTATTTTGCGGTTGCAAGGAAGAGGACGCGCTAGGAGGAATGAGGGAAGTGCGCTGCGGCGGGCGGATTCGTATGGTTCGACCCTGACCCTTCACCTTCAGGGGTTTTGAGAAACCGCGCTAACTCCGCCGCGTCATTCATACCCCTCTAACTTCTCCGTCAATGGTTATTGGGCGGGTTTAATGGGCCTCCGGGCATACTGAACGGCTGAGCCTGTTTTGTCGATCTACTTCTCCAATTTCGCCCTGATATAGTGCTAAGTACTCTCATATGTTCTCCACGGTATAGTGCTAAGCACTTTCTATATTCTCTATGGCATAGTCCTAAGTACTCTCCATTTTCTCCACGGTTTAAGTGCTAAGCACTTCCCATTTTCTCTACGTTTTAAGTGCTAAGCACTCTCCAAATTCTCCACGGTATAGTGCTAAGCACTCTCCATGTTCTCCACGGCATAGTGCTAAGCACTCTCCATTTTCGCTACGGTTAAGTGATAAGCGTTTCCCATGTTTGCCATGGTATAGTGCTAAGCACTTTCCATGTTCTCCAACGGTAAAAGTGCTAAGCACTCTTTATTTTTTTCTCCATTTTTAAGTGCTCAACACTCTCTAAATTTTGCTCCAATGTCCAGTGCTAAGCACGGGGATTTTATCCTTTTCACTTGTTTCTTTGATCCTGCTACAAGATGTTGCTCTATCTTACAGCAGACTCAGGGACTAAGTGTGTACACTTCACCTAGCAGTGAGTGTACTGTTTTTCCTCTTACTGGTCTTCAGCTAAGCTAGTCAATGTCACGCCGTGTTCTCGCTTAAGTCGGGACTCGCTTATTCTAAATAACTGATCGTTGTACTTCTTTGATCCTGACACCAGGTGCATTCTTCACCTACTGTCAGGCTTGGGGACTACAATGTATATATTGCACCTTGCGGTGTTTGTATCAAATTAACGGTTGGCTAAGTTCCCTTTTTCTTTCTCAGTCGTTGATATTCTTTGATCCGGACACTAGGTGTCTTCTTCACCCACCGTCAGCTCGAGACTATACATTGCACCTTATGATATGTATCAATACTAACATCCTCTTTGACTAAGTCATGGATGATGATCATCTCGACTTCGCCAACGGCTTCTAAGTATGTACCCTTCACCTAAGGTGGAGAATTTTTTAAAATTTTAAACCTGAGCTCCTTACATCCTTTTAGCAAGCCTTACTTAAGTATGTTCGAGGCCTGTTGACCAGTTAAACTGGTCAAGATTTTATTTTTTGTTGATTGGATTATGATTAACTCGTCTGACTCAAGTTAAACCGCCGAACCTCGCTCAAGACGACATTGCTTTCGATGGATAAAAGGCGCCGAGGACTAGCTTTGTGGGTATAACCCTAGGTACCCACGATAATAGACTTGGGCCGCACCGCTGGGAGAGTCCAAATTTATAAGATCAAGGCCTACGGTGCTCGACTCTGGTTGACGTGTACCGCAAGGCAATCAGAAGACATCTTAACGATGAAGAAAGATCTGTTCAGATATGATAGATATCGTACTCCTTGTAAATATTTACCATATAGCCAAATAGATCTAGACTTAAACCGAACTGTAATCCTACCCTCCAGACTATATAAGGCGGATAGGGACCCCCTCGAATGCATCTCATATTCAATACAATCCACCGAAGACGTAGAGTATTGCGTCGATCAGACGGCCTGAACCTGTCTAAATCGCTTATCTCTGTGCTTGTGTCACCATCCAGCTTCTGATACATGGGCATTACGGCCCGAAGACACAGGACGTAGGATATTACGTCGATCAGACGCGTACCACCGATTTATCTACTACCGTGGACATACCCCTCGGTAGACTGCCGACCATATTTCGTCGATAGTTTCTAACACAAAATCATTTAGAGAAGAAAGCTACTAAAGGAGACTGTTGGAGGATGACAAAAAAATTAATGTTGCTATTTTTTTGTTGACTTGTTAGATCTATTAGTTTAGCAAAGTAGATTACACCAAACTCGTGGAGATGCTCTTCTGGAGAAAAAAATCCAACATGGTACGAACATGCTGATTAGTTTAAGAAAGGACAAAAGCTCAATTATGAATATACCCTCTATAATAAAAATTACATTTCATAACCAATCTTCCTCAATTAATTGTATAGAAAATACATAAAAAAAGAAAGTACCTATAAGTACCAATTGTACTTTACAATTATCAAAGATCTCATAGATGTTTATGTTGATGATAGAGCCCTTTCGTTATGGCACTTCGCTAGAAACCATCTATGCATATTAATTTACTTAGATATTATACATAGAAATTATATTATTAAATAACAGTTTTTATAGAATATAAACATTTTTTATCGGATCACATGTTCTCTCTCAATCATTTGCCTATCATACTCTTCATATTTTGATTCTCGTGTAGACATGATTTCTTATTTCAAAACTATTTTCTCACGCTCTTGTTTAGTTGTAGTGTCACGTCATCTTTTTTTTATTTAGTTGACATCTTAATTAATAAAGATAGAAATTATGTAATTTCTTCGCGTGAGTGTCTGACTGGGCCACCTGCCCACATTTGAGGCCGCGTTGTTAGTAGGGATGAAAATGGTATGGATATTTTCCGATCGTATTCGGGTTCGAATCCATTTAAAGGGGTTCAGATCTATTCGTATCCGAGTTCGGTATCCGTATCCGAATACTCAAATCGTATATTTACGATGTCGATATCGAATCGTATCCTATTCGACATGACTTGAATTCGAATCCGACCACAGAAATATGAAGACCCCGATCCGTTTTCATCGCTAGTTGTTAGCCAAGCAACGAAATACGGTTGGACCCACCGACGTTTGATCCAGGCCCGAACCATCGTTTCGTTTCTACCCTGAAAATCCGAGCGCGGCGGGAGGACTCAAATCAACCCCGCCTCGTTGGCGGGAAGGAACCCCCGCCCACTTCCCTGTGCTGACTAGGAGCTGTACGCGTGGTCTATGGTGAGCAAACGCTGGGATCACTCTGAACATGGGACCCCAGGCCGGGTGCACCGCGGATCGCATGCACGGAAAAGGTCGTGCTCCCGGGAATTTCTAGCTTTGGCAACGTTTTTCGTTCTGGTCCTCACACTACATGTATATTTCGTTTGGTCTCACAGAAACGTTCAGACGAATACCGGTATACCGTATACCACTTGTATAAAGTGCAGGATGTCCTCGCTGTTTCCCCCAAAGAATGTCAGTGTATCTGTTCTTTTCTTGATACTACATGGGTATCCGCTGTTCAAGCCACAGATCCTTTGACCTTGTTGCCTCGCTATGGAGCTTCTTTAAACATTTCTTTAGTCAGCGCTTGAGGATTCATATATCACCAATGGTGTTGCTAATTTATTGTCAATTAAATGGAGGTATACATATATCCCCTTTGAGCGTGTTGAAATAAGAACTAATCTTTGATTATTTATTTGGAAGCACTTGGGGAAAAATCAATTTTGACCTTTCTATCAAGTAGATTTATATCAGTATTTCACCATTGGTAGAGACATTATTTTGAGAATTTAGTACTTGGTATTTCCAAATTGATAAAGTTGGTTTGAATTCATATTAGTAGAAATAATTAAAATTATTGCTTTAAATACTAAATTTGGACTCTCAAATATTGAAACGTTAGCAATTTTAGTCCAGACTCAAGTCTAAGCACATGCGCGTGTTTACTACTTGACTATTCTTTTAGTGGTCAAATATAGTATCATAACTTTATCAATATCAAGATATGCTGGCTAGTATCTCATAAGTGTCTAGGAATACAGTATGCATCTGAGTTGTAACAGGAACATAGCAAGAGAAATCAGGGGAAATGGGTTTGGCCTTCTATAACTGATTCAGTATTACAATCTATGTGATAAATGTTTAAAAACATGGTTTTCTGGCATAAAAGAGAATATAATTCTCAAAATATAATAGTGTGTTTTTTTTTTTTGCTGATCTCAAATCTTATAAATCATTCGCTGAACGCTGAAAAATATGCATAGGACTTCTATGCTCAAGGTCGTAACCAGAAATACGTAAACCTCTATGGTCAAGACTGCAAAACCGTATAAAATTCTCGTACAAGGCGCCCCATATAAATAAGCCACCCTTTGCCCCCAAATCGCTTTCACTCTTGAAATCCCCTGCGCCTCTCGGTCGATCGTCCAACCTCCCATTCCTCCGCACTCGAAATCGAAAGCGCCCCGCCCCTGAAACCCTAACCCTACCTTTCCTCTCCCTCCACCACCCGCCCCAATGGCGAAGCCGGCGAAGTACGACGAGGAGGAGGAGGTCTCGTCCTCCACCGAGGAGGAGGAGGACCAGTCCGACGCCGCCGGCTCCGGATCTGGCGAGGAAGGGGATGAGGAGGAGGAGGGGGAGGAGGATGCGGCGCCGCCTGCGGAGGAGGAGGAAGCTGCAGGAGAGGGCAGGAGGAGGAGGTTGACGAGGAGGAGATCGAAGCCGTCACTACCGGCGCTGGTGCTGAGGACGAGGAGGACGTTGAAAGCGATGCCGCCGCTGAAGGCGACGACGAGTCCCAGTCCACCGAGGACGACGAGTCCGTTGCGAGGGACAAGGATGATGGTGACGAGGTGAGCGGGAGGTTAGGGTTTGGTGCTTTAATCGCGTTTTTAGAGATTCGATTTAACGAGGGCTTTGGAAATATACTAATATTTGAAAAATTACTTGACCTCATAGTTTCAGAATAATCTGCTTTCCAGTCATTGCTAGATATATGGCCTCTGTTAATTTGTTTGTTTTGTTATTGTTGCAAGTACTTCTACTTTTATTTTTTTTCTCATAGCTGTGGCATAAGCTGTTGTTGCCTGGTTCTTCCATAATACAAAGATATTAGTAATATTGGTAAATAGATATATCCCTAGTTCTGAGTTTAATGTGTCGAGGGACCCTTTGTTGTATCATGCCCTACAATTCAGTAGTGAAAATTTTACATTTCTTTTGCCCGAACCATTTCTGTCGCAGACTGATGCAGTGGTTGGGAAGCGTGAGAAAGCAAGGCTAAAAGAACTCCAGAAGATGAAGAAGCAGAAAATCCAAGAAATACTAGATACCCAAAATGCTGCCATTGATGCTGACATGGTATGTACTTTCTTTAAATGGATCCTCATATACAATTGCATGGTTTGCACAGGATTAACCACATAGACTTAATATATTACATTCTGCTGTTATTTTGATCTCAATATTTTTTGACAGAACAATAAAGGGAGGGGACGGTTGAAATACCTTCTTCAGCAGACAGAAATATTTGCTCACTTTGCAAAAGGAAGTCAGTCGAACGAGAAAAAGCCACGCGGGAGGTAACATTGGTCTTGTTTGTGCCATGATTATATGATTTATCTTGGAAGTTTAGTGGACATTGCTGGCACTTTATATGGCATAGCGCTTTTGAAGTTTAAAATATTATATGAAGGATGCTCCCAACTTCAATCATGACCGCAGCATAAAAAAATCGCGCTAGAAATGGATTTTGACTATCACCAAAGTGATTCTAGGTTGAAGTACCTTATGCATCAACAAACAATATAACAATTTTTTTTCTGTTCAAGCTTGTAGGTGAATCTTCTATCTTGTAGTTTCTCTGTGAGCCCCTTGATCTTGTTATTATTTTCCTGAAATTGTCAGCATTGTATTAAGGTGACATCTGTTGCACCTTTTACACATGTTCCTATATTTCCATTTTGTATGTAGATATGGAGTTAAAGAAATATTAGAGTGGAGTTGTTAAGTTGAATAGTTCATCCTGCAATCCTCAGTATCATTACATTATGGAGTGCTGCTCACTATTTTGTATGCAGAACCATAAGACTTAGCTCAATGAACTTAGATATTCTTTTCTGTCTGTCTATTGTGAGTAATTTATTTGTTGATGAGTTGAGTCAATCTGTAGGGGACGTCATGCATCAAAGATGACTGAAGAAGAGGAAGACGAAGAATACCTCAAAGAGGAAGAAGATGCCCTTGCCGGTGCAGGGGGAACACGTTTAGTTTCACAGCCTTCATGTGAGCCCTTTGCTGACTATTTGTTACTACCTTGACCTATGCTGTTTCCTTGCTTTAATAACTACTTCAAGTTGATAGAAGAATTACTTGTTAGATAGATGTTTTCTCTGTTGCCATAAAATTATTTTGACGCTGTTTATAAGGCAAACTTAACCTAGGCTAATTGAATCTTGTACTGGCTTTGAAAGTGAATGAGTGCTTTGATTGAGGTTCAAACTGAACCAATATTATTAAGTATACTGATTTGGGTGAGGTAAAACTGAACCAATATTGTCCATAAGGCCATAACTGACTGTTCATATTTAAGTTTTGTAACTAAGATGATCAAGAACCCTGAAATGAACGCTGACCTATTTTGCCCAATAACTATTTCTACTCAGTAAATGCCATGGTGCATTTGTTTTTTGATTATTCTCGTAATGAAGGAACATCTATTTATGCAATTGATTGTTGTTTCCTGTTTTCACTTCCGCTGACACCTTTTTTGTTCCATCAAAGTGGCCTAACTCTACTTCCAATTTCTTGATAAAAGAATTGATATGCATTCTCATGAAACCAACCAATAATTTTAGGTTTTAGTTTTCTTAGTAGGCTTTATATCTTTTGTTCCTTTTGTCTTATGTAATAAACTTTTATTAAATGTTTGAATTCTTTTGCAGGCATCAAGGGAAAGATGCGTGATTATCAACTGGCTGGACTTAATTGGCTTATACGATTGTATGAGAATGGTATCAATGGAATATTAGCTGATGAGATGGTATGCTACATGTGTTAATCTTGATTAAGATCATCTTTTAGTCCTTCATTTTTGTTTTGTTTGACACTTTAACTTTGAATAGGGTCTTGGGAAAACGCTCAAACTATTTCATTGCTGGGATATCTGCATGAGTTCAGAGGTATAACTGGTCCTCACATGGTTGTTGCGCCAAAGTCCACTCTTGGCAACTGGATAAAGGAAATCCAACGTTTTGCCCCATCCTCACGGGCTGTGAAGTTTTTGGGGAATCCAGAAGAGCGGGTTAGTCTCAAGTCTATTCTTTAATCACTTATGGAACTTATACTGCCATGTTACTGACCTTCTCTTATTTGTCAGAACCATATAAGGACAATTTGCTACAGCCTGGAAAATTTGATGTGTGCGTGACTAGCTTTGAAATGGCAATCAAAGAAAAATCTACATTGAGGCGCTTCAGCTGGCGCTACATAATTATTGATGAAGCTCACCGGATAAAAATGAGAAATTCTCTTCTATCAAGACTATGAGGATTTACCACACTAATTATCGTCTCTCTCATCACAGGCACTCCACCCAGGTAGGCTTCTCTTGCCAGTATTGTTTTTATATAGTGTGTGCACCCAAATGATTTAAGTACCACTTCAGTAACTGTGCTGTCTCATTTGTTTTTGGTTTAATCTGATTCTAGTCTGATTTGCTGCTACATGGCAGAATAATCTCCATGAGCTCTGGGCTCTCCTCAATTTCTTGCTACCTGAAATATTTAGCTCTGCGGAGACCTTTGATGAATGGTTTCAAATTTCTGGGGAAAATGATCAACAGGAGGTGGTCCAGCAGCTTCATAAGGTTGGGATATAATTCTCATGATCTTCAATTTGAGTACCTTAAATGAACTCTTTATAATTGTTTCTCTGCAACTTTTTGCAAAGGTTCTTCACCCATTTCTTCTTAGGAGGCTCAAGTCTGATGTAGAAAAGGGTCTACCTCAAAGAAGGAAACCATACTTAAAGTTGGAATGTCTCAGATGCAAAAGCAGTACTATCGTGCTCTGCTTCAGAAGGATTTGGAGGTTATTAATGCTGGTGGTGAACGCATAGCGATTGCTTAATATTGCCATGCAGTTGCGCAAGTGCTGCAACCATCCATATTTATTCCAAGGAGCTGAACCTGGCCCACCCTACACAACTGGTGAACATCTAGTTGAGAATGCAGGTAACATCATGTTCCTTATTTCTTTGTATAATTGAAACATTTTTTCTACAGAATTTCTATGAATGCTTATTGACAGTTCTTTTGATATTTATGTAGGAAAATGGTTCTATTAGATAAATTGCTGCCCAAGCTAAAGGAGAGCGTGATTCCAGAGTCCTAATTTTTTTCACAGGTGATTGTTTTCCACTGCCATGCAGATTTGAATGCATTATTTGTTTAGCAAGTTTGTATTAGGAGATATCAGACACCACTTATGGATGCTGAGCATGTGCATAGTGCACCTCATTAAGCACTTTGTTATCCTAGAATTTTCCTTTGCTTAATATAGCACCATCCTGCAGATGACCAGGCTTTTTGGATATCTTGGAAGATTATCTTATGTATAAAGGTTATAAGTATTGTTAATTGATGGAAATACAGGTGGAAGATCGTGATGCATCCATTGAAGCCTTCAATAGGCCAGGAAGTGAGAAGTTTGTTTTCTTACTTTCAACTAGGGCAGGTGGCCTTGGTATTAACTTGGCCACTGCTGATGTTGTGGTTCTTTATGACAGTGATTGGTGTACGACTTTGTTATGCTAAACTTAATTTTGTTGCTTACCCTAAGAATGAATCTTATGTCTCTGCTACTTCTGTGCATCCAGGAATCCACAAGCGGATCTGCAAGCTTCAGGACCGTGCACATAGAATAGGTCAAAAGAAAGAAGTTCAAGTGTTCCGCTTTTTTTGCACTGAGGTTTGTTGTTTCTAGATTAATAATTACCGTGGTGCCAAATTTTATATATTGCTACCTGTCTGGAAGATAATGCAAACAAAATTACAGTACACTATCGAGAAAAGGTGATTGAGAGAGCATATAGAAGCTAGCATTGGATGCTTTGGTTATTCAGCAAGGACGATTAGCAGAGCAGAAAAGTATGGTTTTGATATTTGCCATTGCTATTTGTTTTAAGC